TCTTTTGCGCATGCGGCCGCTTTGAGCGTCACACTAGAGCGCGTTTGCTGTCACATTTTATTTGTCGTGTGAACGAGCAGACAAAAACTCGGATTCGAGCATTCAGACCTGCAGAGTGAACCTTTGAGCGCTCCAGGAGAGCAGAAAAGCGCTTTATAAGAATCAGTCCATTTACCATTTAAGTTGTTGCTATTGGTAAGTGTTGATTGGTTGTTTAATTGTGGTTTCAAATGTTTTTATTTATAATGATGATTATAGAACTATAGATATGACATCATCACAAAACCAGCATTCATCAACATTTGAATGGTGCAGACCATCACCGTGCTCCTCTTCATCATCACCGTGCTCCTCTTCATCATCACCGACACAAACAACATAGACAGTCTGATAATAATCAGCATCAAGATTCAGGGCTGAACATCTGACTTCAGATAATTTATTTATTTATTTATTAACCTTAATTTAACCTGGAAGATCCCATTGAGATTAAAAACCTCTTTTTCAAGGGAGACCTGGCCAAGATAGCAGCAGGTGTCTCACAGTTACAGAAATGACTCAAACACAGGCAGCAACAACACACATGCAACAATAAGTGAAAGAATACAAATAAAATAAAATAAAATTCAAATAAAAATAAATAAATAAATCAGTTAAAATGACAATCAATCTAATTGAAACAGTTGCATGTTATGGACTCGGCCTCAAGGATTCGTAGTTTAGATTTAAAAGCACTTAATGAAATAAATTCAGTCATTTTCCTTCTGCAGTTTGTTCCGAGCCGACGGTGCTGAATGGACAAAAGCTCTTTTACCAAGTTCAGTTCAGGCAAATGGAACAGAAAGCAACAAGTAACCATGCGGACGAAGAGATTAAGTTGATAAGAGCACTTATCATCTGTGTGTCAGCATCGAGAGTTATTCTTATTGGTGCCACACTTAAAAATAAAAACACTATAATGTCTCCATGTAGAGCAGCTTTAACATTATCAAAGATTTTCTCTCTTTGTCAGATTAGCTTAACTGTAAAGTCATGGAAACATCTGTGAAGTCCAACTTCACGTCAAATAATTTACCAGATGATCCTAAACTGTCAGTGTTGTTGAGTAACAACAGTAACGTGTAAAAGAAGCTTTGTTTTTTCTTTTGCTCCATGAAACATCATCAAAATAGAAACATTTGACACAAAACAAAACAAAAACTCATCTAAGTGGAAAAATGTAACCAACCAAAGCTCTCAGGTCATGTGACCCGAACATCAGAAGGAGCAAAGACAACAAACTGATAACTGCACCTTTGCTGACTCGTATATCATAAGTTGTAACACAGAGAACAGCTGCTTTACAACAAACACTGTAAACAGTCAAATCAATAGAAACAGAAGAAAAACACCATAACCGCTGGTTAGACAATAAAACTTTATTACATTTGTGTTTAAAATTATTACAATTATAGTATTTACAGGCATCGTCCTAAAAATAAGATTCTCATGCTGGATGACACATAAAAAGAAATCATTGTACAAGCAAGCAGAAATGAATGTACATCCACAATTTACAGATCAGAGAAGCTGCTTCCTGTCCTGCTAACATGAGCTCAGACGGGGTTCAGAAAGACGAGACGTTTTCCTCTCAGCTGACGAGGACAGCGTCCCGCTGTGGGAGGACGGCGTTGTGGCCACGTGTGAGCAAATGACTGAAACTATCCATGTTCAAAATTCTACAAACCACTTAAATATCCTCGGTGACCGTGAGTTTTTCACTTTGACTGCAGGTTTTTAATAAGAGAAGCCGTCCCACCTAAAACAACATAACAACC